TTTGTAAGATTAAAAAAAATGTATAGTAATTAAAATACTTCCAACAATTTGAAAAATAAGACCCATGTGCTCTGAAAATACTGTTCAGCGTAATATTATGTATCATAGCTAATTATATAATTATATTAATGTCAAATATTAATATAATTTGGGTTATTTTAACTTATTTTATATTGCGCATCATATTATATTATTAAAATATTTATAAGATCTATTTTACTGATTGGTAATATGTTTCTAAAAATTATAGATTTAATTCAGAACGAAACTAGAAACATTAAATTAATTTCGATGGTGTCGATTAAGTTCCATTTAAATAATAATTAAAAGCCTATATTTCACTCTTGATATATACATTTGTGATATTGTGAACCATATCTTTTTGGATTTATTATGTAATGTACACATTATACAATTGCAATGTATACTCATTTGAATATAAAATAAAAATATTAATTTTAAAGTACAGAGCATTTGTTTGTAAAAATGTTTAGTCTCATTCTTCTTAAACGGTAGTCCAGTAGCCTTTCATTTCTAATAGTTATTTTCATAATAAATTATTAACTGTCAAAATTTAATTTAATTTATTTTAACAATTTTTTTTATTTTGTGTATCTTTGTCATCTAAAAATGAATATGATATAGTACCGAAACAATAACAATATCAATGCCTTATAATCAAAAAATCAAAAACTTATATTAATAGGAAAGGTAAATATATTTATTAAATATCATTATATATTCATTTATGTTCGATTTTTTTTATAAAGTTATTCATAACAGGTAAGACTACACTTAGTTGAGTTGGTTAATTTTTTTTTTTTTCGTTAGAACTATTTTGTTGAAACCTGAATTTAGATTAACCACCGACATCGTCGGTTGGTGACACACACACACAATAACTGTTTTTTTCTTGCGCGAACCACCGTGAATGCATGTGTTATTCTTATTATTTTTATTGTGAGCACAAATTATCGTTTGTACGCCATTTTTATTATTGTTATTTTCGTAGGCGCAAATCACCACTGTTAAAGTGCGCTAATCGCAAAATATTATATATTTTTTTATTATTAATATTATTATACCGTATACGCGAATAGGCGTAAATTGTGATTTTTAGTATTTATACATTTTAAAAGTGTGTACGAATTGCCACATATTTTATAATTTTAGTTTTTATATATATTGTATACATTTATTTAAATTAGGATTAGGTGTGCAGCTGGCCCGTCTCCACACCACTAAATTGTGAGTTTTTATTATTTATTTATTATTATACCAAAAGGGTCATATATTTATATTGTTTAATATTTGTTGTTGGGCCAAAAGGGGCCATAATTATTTATTTTACATTTGTATTGTTGTGAATTATTTATATCTTTTTGTGATTTTTTATTCAATTTGTACCAGCAATACATACAATTATACACCATTTTTAGATTTATTTCATTTTAGTTATCATTTTTCTTATAGTTTTTAAGTACCTACACAATACACACAAACACAATGTACATACACACTTGACACATTTCAACACAACATAGCTCACTAATAGTTGCGCGGCGAACCCAACCACTATTAATTGAGCTATCACATTACTACACACAAATTTACCTTTGGTTTTTTTTTTTTATTAATGAGATTTTAACTAAAAATTATTATATCCCAACAATAACATAAATATTGACAAATAAAGACAGACAGAAGTGTAAAACTAACACAATTATATTTTTAGTCCAGGTTGCAAGATGTTTGATTATGGATATATTACCAGCTGAAAGAGCAGTTATTGAAAAGCAGTAATGAGAGAAAAAAAGGTATACCAAAGGTGGAAAACACCCTCTTTAATTGACTTCTACTATGGTAGAGAACAGGACAATCAAGTAATAGATGTTGGAAGTCACAGTTACCCCCTTCCCACAGTTTGGTAAAGGGAAGAACGAGTGGTTGTTAAGACCCAATTTAAAAGAATGATTTGGTAGTAGGTTGTTGCTGGTGTGTAATCCGGTGTATTGAGTCATAATCGCTAGACGTAATGCTAAAGATTGAAACATGGACTTATTGGGACGTTTTTTGATACTGTTTTATAAGCAGAATAGGACTCTGGAAGATTATCCCATTCTAACTTCCATATCTTCTGTATAAATTTGCGGTGAATAGGGATCAGATCCATGTAAGGACACCAGAGGGGACTTGAATAAATTTGATTGGTGATGGACCCGGCTAAGAAATCAGCGTACTTGTTGCCACTGATGTCTATGTGACCAGCAATTCATAAAAAGGAAATGGTAAAGGACCTATTTTTTAGAGCTAGCAGAGTTCTACGAACTTTTAATAATATGAAAGATTACTTTGAAAGAAAAGGGTTATTGAAAATAGATAACAAACTATCTTGGGAGTCAGAGAAGATGAGATAATTACCAAGGGAAAGAGAACTAATGCTGATGAGGGCTTCTAGTAAAGCCCAACATTCAGCCGTGAAGAAAGAGACGAATGGAGATAAGCTGACAGCCGACTGTAGCAGCAGTTTAGGAGAAAGGAAAGCATAACTTGTCCTTGAAGGCGATACCGAATCATTTGTAATGACCAGGGAACGGACTTTGATGCAAAATACATTTTTTAGTGGGTAGAATAGGGCAATGCTTTCTAAGTGTATAATTCGATTCATACATCAGAGAATTTAATAATGAAACTTTTATTTTGCATTTTTTTGCATTTTTTAAACTTTTTCAGTTTTTAAAGCATTTTTTGAAATTTTTAGAGCATTTTTCCATTTTTAGGACATTTTTCGTATATATTTGTTGCTTGGAATTATACAATTTTAGTTATTCCTATGAAGATCGGCTGATTGTATCTATCTATATGGTTATACGTAATTCCCATCAAATAATCTCGATAACGTTACGATACGCGATATAAAACTAATTGGTGTCCGATTATTAGTAGATACTCATAGAGTCGTTAGTCGTTAGTCGTGTTCGCTATCGTAATTCGAATAAGTGTGAAAGATGCCGAAAATTAAGAGGACGCTACACTGGTTATTTTCACTGATAAAAACACGTCTACGAAAAACAAACGAAATGATATCAAAAAATGGTTTTAGAATAAAAATACTCATAATGAAATTTATAGAGAACAATATTTAGGAGGGAACCTCATCGGGGTTTTTCAAAATATCAAGTATTAAAGAAGTTACAATTGCATAAAAAATGTAAAAAAAAAAGTTTTTTGTGTCTTTCATATCAAGCCGTGTATTTAGATTAATACAAAACCCCAATGAGGTTCCCTCTGAAATATTGTCCTCTATAAAATTTATTATAGGTATATTTACTCTAAAATCACTTTTTAATGGCTTTTCGTTTGTTTTTCGACAGCATGTTTACGTCGTTAGATTTGATTTTTCATTACCATCATGTCCTACTTGCCGTTGTGACGGCGGCCGCGAATTCCCCCACTACGCCAATAAGTTAATTAAACCATAATGACTGTCTCGAGCGGTCGGTCGTCGCCCGTCGGTCGGTTATCGGCGACCACTGCAGAAGCTTCTGAGAAATGAGAATAGATTATGCGCCGATTACGAACCTAACCAAAATTGTTCCTAATATGAATTACTAACATTATAGAAATAATGAAAAATAAAATTATTATAATTATGCAATCGGCAATCATAGACGGCATTCCATCACTGGCCGACTGGGTAACTCTTTGGTTTATTTTCATTGTTCAATCATTTTTATAATATAATTACTACGGACATTCTAATGTTTTCAGACAGTAGGTATTTTTAACTTTAAAATATGCATCATCCAGCAATAATAAATTCAAGTACCTAATCATATAAGATAAATATTCAAATGAATTGAAACATTTACCTATTATTATTTATCATGATATAAGTATGATAAGTATGACTATCCCCCACAAAAAAAAAATAAGTTATAAATGTACACATCGTACTTATTAATTATTGATTACGAATTTCGGACAGCGGAAGTAACATTATGAGACTACCTACTAATAGCTGTATTTCCAGAACTGTGTATGAAAATTAAAAATAAATAGTCAAGTACCTATAGTTATTACTATAACTACCTATTGTACGAGTAATACTCAAATATTATCATAAAGTAAACTCTGAAAAATAACCATTCCTTCTGGATGATTCAACGTGATCACATCAGTTGTAAACATTTTTGTGAATTTTTTATAATTATACGGTCGTTATACATTGTTAATAATGGTCAATAAAAAAAATATGCTAAAGCGTAAGCGATCAACTAAAAATATGGTTTCCAAGACTCTTGTTGGCGCGGCAAGTGTTTTAAATAATATAGAACATACTTGTTCGCCATAAAATAAATTAAACATAAATTAAATAATAAAAACTGTATAATTGAATAATTAAATAAATATGTGGCCCTACAACGGCGCAACAATAATAATAAATAAATATACAATCATATATAATAATAACAATGCCCTTGGCGGATAGGCCCGTCGGCCTTAAACAAATAAATAACACAAATATGGTCGACCAATACTCACAATCACCAACGAAGTCTACAGCGCTGACAAAGAACAAACACGATGAAACCACGTTTTGCACAATGGCTGTTGGCAAGTGACCACCCTAGAATATGGGACAATTAATGAAAGGCAATACAAATTGCGCTGAACGACACTTACCAAACAGCCGACACGATACAAAACAAAAACACAGAAAAACGTGGTTTGAAGAAGATGGCTGTAGACCAACGCCCGAAACAGCAGCAGAAAGAATTGGTGTGCACACCACGACGAACACGAACAGAGAGCGAGACGGTGCCAGCGACATTTTCCACGAAGGCTAGGGCCGCCGGACACCACAAAATGAAGATAAATGTCTCAGTGCCACCACACTAAACCAAAAAACACGAGAACTTATGAAACTTTGTGGCACTGAGAACATGACTTTTACTTTTACAAAAACATGAAAACGTGGAAATAACGGGCATTTACGCGCGACGATAACAGCGCGATTACGTACCCGGCCGGTCGTACACGGAGGCTTATCACCACCGCCGACGATGGCTACGGATACGCAACGCACCGTTACACATCGCACGAAAATGATAACAACAACAAAAATTACACAAACATAATCACATTTAAATTAACATCAACAACTCTTGCACAAAGACGATTAAAAAAACCGAGGTAAGTGCCCTAAATTACATATGATTTATCTTAAAAATTAAAACCATCATATTATTACCAATTTAAATTTAAATTTAAGAACTTAGTCTCCTTGTCTAAAACGAAAAACATTGCTCTGCTGTTAGTGTTGAGTCTCGATTGTAGCTGGTCATAGAGGTAGTAAGTTTATAATATTTTAATGTTTAATCAAATAAAATTATATGTATATATATATATATATAAATACATGTATACATATTTACCTAATTAATT